AAAAAATGTCGCTTACGTTATTTTGGCGGTTGGGGCTCGATATGTACCGTTGTATACAATAAACGTTTGATAAGAAAAATTTTCTGTACATTCAATTGAAGACGTTTTTGGGTAGGAAATGACGTTTTTTCAGACCAAGAGGGACGTTTTCTCATGTCGAAGACCTGGCAACACTGACCGGCAGTCTGGCCAAACAGCCGCGTGTGTGTGTGGTTGTGTTCGCTATATTAAACTACTGTGTTTATTTTATTCAGTGGGGGTTAGTGGGACCTCCACCCAACCCTGGAAAATACGGAAATATCATAGTTTTTGTATATTTCGAAAATACCGTTATATGGGAGATGGGCGTGGTTATTGTCCGATTTTGCCCATTTTCAATCCCAACCTACCTTGGATAAAGGGCAACCTATTTACCAAATTTCATTGACATATCTCAATTTTTTCTCGAGTTATCGTGTACGTGGACAGACGGACGGACAGACAGACATGGCTTAATCGACTTCTCTTTTCATTCTGATCATTTATGTAAACATTTGTCATATCTATCCCGATTCGTTTTGGCTGTTACAAACAACCGTTATGCGAACAAAGTTATAATACCCTTGTGCCCAAGTGCGCTCGGGTATAAAAACAACACAATTGAAAAGTAAAAAGAGCCAAAATGTTCTAAGCAAAGTGAAAGTAAAAAGAGCCATTCGTTGCTAAGCAAAGAGCGGCATTTGGCTCAAAGAGCCACGTTTGCCAACGGTGGGCAAACCAAAACAGTATAGGTACTCTAATTCTTTTATTTTGAAATCAAAAAATATTTAGAGGTCGCTCAAAGCGCTCAAAGTTTTCCATGTATTTTATATGGGGAAACCCCTACTTTTCGTAGAAATGGTATAGACTTCTTGAAAACCAAATCAAAGTTTTGCATGTATTTTATATGAGAAAAACCCTACTTTTTGTAGAAATACTCTTCTTGAAAATCAATATTTTTCAGACGGAAAACTGTTCCTCTTCAGCAGATTCACAAAAATCATACCCAATTATTTATTTCTCCATTTTTTCATAGTAACCATATTTTATAGCTCGCCGAAACCCCAGAAAATGCAATGGGGGATATATAAAAAACCTTTAGTGTTAAAAAATTGTTAAATAAACAATTGGGTGATGTTATTCGAAGATCGAAAACTATTAATTCTGACGAATTCTATACCATTTCTACGAAAAGTTGTTTTTTCCCATATAAAATACATGCGACAACTGTGAGCGCTTTGAGCGACCTCTAAATATTTTTGGATGTCAAAATAAAAAATAGGGGTAGACTTTTTTCGATATAAAACAATCCTAGGGGTGAGAGCATTAAAATTCCGACTTTACTTATTGTGGACCACCCTAATTTACATATGTATATTTTTAACCAATTTGCTTCTGATTCTGATCTGAAAAAGTAACATTCTGAACGTTCCTCATAATCCTTAATATAGAAAGGCCCTAACTCATAGTCGCTGAAAAACAAAAAATCCGTAACTGACTAAAATTTTGTATAGCTTAAAATGATGTGGGGACTTATAATTCGATGAAATGCATCATAATAAATCAAAAAGGGAATTTTGGATTTTTACTTAGTTGCGGCTTTATGTATTTCAGCGACGATGCGAGATAGGGCCATTCTATATTAAGGTCACGATTCCAATAGCACTCCGGTTTACAGGATTTAGTCAGAATTTACAGGAAGTCGTTCCTATTGACATAAAACCTGTAAGTGGGAACACTTTTGAGAGAGTAACTGAGTAACTGTTCCTAGTCAGAAGTTACAGGATTTAGTCCGGAGTTTTTTTCCTGTAAGTTCATGAAAATTGTCAAACGATCAGCTGATTTCCATGTGCAAACAAAAACAGAAAGTGCTGTAAGCAAAGAACCTTATATTTGTAAAAAAAGGAAGTAACCAACGAAATATTTGAATATGTGTAGATTTTAATAATTAATTAGTGATATTTCAGCAAATCACTGTTGTACAAATGACAGGTATACAAACCGACTGACGTTTTTACAGGAAATAGTGCTTTTTGCGTTCCCGTGCACTTCTGCATCTGTTCTCCTTTTACTCTCACTAGAGAGAGTAAAATTGTAGTTTGACAGCTCCACAGGTTTTAGTCCGAAGTTCAAAGGAACAGACTAATGAAATAACTAAACACATTAGGGGTATTCACGATCCGGTGCGTACTATCTAGCATTGGTGCATAGATAGCATAAATAACGTGAACACAATAGGGGTATTCTCGAAGTCTTGCACGATGCACGGATTGCACAAAATGCAAAAATACTATTTCAAATTTCGAAGAGTACGAGAGCACCCCATTGCAAAGTGGTAGCATGCATGGGTAGCAAGCAGCGAAATTACGTATCAAATACAATAACAAAAGACAGCAAAACAAAAAAATGGAGTGAGCGAGATGAGAGGAATGAGAAAAATATGTAGCAATTACAACAACAAAACAACTAGCACAGGGTCGCATTTATCTATTTTGCAAAATATATACTTGGGTTTCGACGTTGCATATTTTGCAGCGATAGGAAATATTGCTTCCCATGTATTTTGTTGTGTGTTTGCAAGTTATGCACTCCATGCAATCCGTGCTACTTGCAATGGCTTTGCAAGCTTTGGAGAATACCCCTATTGAATAACAACAATCATGCTTTTTATGCTATATATGCACCATGTTAGACAGTATGCACCGGATCGTGAATACCCCTATTGCATTCACTTGTTCATACCTATTAACGCTAAAAACTTCCAGATTGATTCACATCGACGGTGTCACGTTAGTTTGCTCTTGAGTGGGACAACTACTTACATTTAATATGCATATTTAATTGATTTCGTTTTAAATGTTTTTACAATGAATTGTATTAATACTACATAAATGAAAATTTTCGATAGGAAGGTTCTCAAAGATTCGTAACAGCATCGCTGCTTTCTCCTCTGGTCGCCGCGATGGCAGCTGCCGCAGCAGCTGCACTACCCGAGTAACTTTTCATATTGATTTCCATGGTTGTGAGTGCGCTGGATACATGGTACAAGTTCTCCGATAGTATTGCATAAACCTCGAATAGCTCAGAATCGTATTTTGAAACGATAAATGCCTCTGAAATATAGACATACGAATATGAAATATTAGTTTCAGGCAAAGTATTTTGAAATCATATAATGTTTTATATGTAAATCTGAACATGATACAAAAATTTAAAATACTTATACTACTTATTCTTGTGTCACGGATCTGAAAAACCAGATTTACAAGAAATATACATATGTACATATAAAGTATATACAGCTACGATCATAGAAAAGGCGCAGTTAGTCAACGACGTAGCGTAAACGTAGGTTGACGTACGTAGCAGCATATGAAATTTACTGTTGATGGAGCGAGAGAGAAGCAAAGGCAACGTCACCGCCATGTGGTAGTGAGTTTTGGTTAACACGCAAATCCCATAAGGTAGATCGTGTCTGCGTCAACCTACGTATACGCTACGTCGATGACTGTTTGAGCTTTAATGCTCTACTGTTGCTGCAATTAAGGGGCATTGACCAGCCTTCTATTTAGATATTTCCAAACTAGTTCGGCAATGCAAGTCTCAAATACAATATCTTGGCAAAAATAACCAGCATGCTTTACTTTGGGTCACTCGGGGGTACCTGGTAATGAGACATCTGACCATTTGGCCAGAGTAGGCTTAGACCAGGCATTCCGCGGTCCAGTAATAGCACTCTCCACTTCGGCCATCGGAGCCGCATGAAGATGAAAATAAAATAATGTAAAAAAATATTTTTTAAAAACAAGCTTTTGTTTAACATGTACACTGAGGGAAATAATGCATAGTAAAAATGAATACTTTATATTTGATTATCGTTTCAAAATGTTCGGGAAAATTTTAGTTTGGCAGCCCCCGCGTACAAAAAAAAAGGTGGCTATGGGGGGGGGGGGGGGGGGGGGTAGGGGGAGTTCTCCTGATTGCAAATATATATACTTTTAGCCGCAGGAGGCTTATAGTTTTTAAGTTATTTGTTGTTAAAGTTTGTAAATTGAACTAACCTCTAGGCGCTATTTCACACAATAAACACTATATATATGTAGACACTTCGGCAAAATAGTTGCATTAAAACCCCGCACAATGAAATGTAAACATATTTTTTACATTTATGATGTATTTTTAGTAAATTAAGTAAGTGTTAATAATTATCACGCACTTATATATGTATACGCACATTGTGAATACAGAACCGTTGATTCAACCATGGTTTCACACTGACATTAGAAGAGTGGAAGAGTGCAGCCACATCTAAGAAAATAACAATAAAAGAGAATAGTTTTTATCGTACCCATTTTCCTGCTCAGCGTTGAATTAGTAGTAAAGGAGGGTATGGGGTTAAATACCCCCAATATATAAACAAAACTGACAAGCGCCGCAGGCCAAAATTTTTAATAAAAAATCGCGCAATTTTTTATTACAAATTTTCATTATTTATCGAAGTATTGATTTTTATGGAAAAAGCGCCGCAGGCGAAAATTTGTAATAAAAAATCGCGCGGTTTTTTATTAAAAATTTTTATTATTTATCAAGTATTGATTTTTATGGAAAAAGCGCCGCAGGCGAAAATTTGTAATAAAAAATCGCGCGATTTTTTATTAAAAATTTTCATTATTTATGGATGTATTGATTTTTATGGAAAAAGCGCCGCAGGTGAAAATTGTTAATAAAAAATCGCGCGATTTTTTATTAAAATTTTTTATTATTTATCGAAGTATTGATTTTTATGGAAAAAGCGCTGCAGGCGAAAATTTTTAATAAAAAATCGCGCGATTTTTTATTAAAAATGTTCATTATTTATCAAATTAACGATGTACGTTTTCTACATTTGTGTTCTTTGAACTACAATAACACCAGTAAATATTATTTCCACCCGAAAAAAATAATACCGTTATGATCAGGAGTAAGACCCCTATCGATCCTAATATTATTATTTTTAATAAGAGCAATATATGTACGTATTATACACTTATACTTCCTAATTATACGCACTTATTTGTGTATTTTTTTAACGTATGGTAGCATACATTTTGTGTTACTGTCATCCATTGTTATTTCTGCTTGTTTGTGAAATGTGCAAACGTTTGTGAAGACATTTATAAACGCGTTTTACTTAATTAATTAATTAAGAATTGTATATTAAAGTGGAAATCTCAGGCCGGGGTTTTAATGCAACTATTTTGCCGAAGTGTGCACATAAATAAAGTGTTTATTGTGTGAAATAGCGCCGAGAGGTTAGTTCAATTTACCAACTTTAACAACAAATAACTTAAAAACTAAAAGCCTGCTGCGGCTAAAAGTATATATATTTGCAATCAGGAGAACTCCCTCTACCGTTCCATAGCTACCTTAATGCGGAACTCCGGGGATGCCAAACTAAATTGCAGCCAAATGTTCGTATTTAAAAATAATATTTTCATACAAAATTTATTACGCACGTATTTGACTGTTCACATCAGGGATGAAAAATGGAAATTTCAGATTGTACCTAAAAAAATTTACATCATTGATTTGTAGTTTTATTATAAATCTTTTTTTAAAACATGAATACAAAAGATGGATGTACTTTAACATGATTAGGTTTTTTTTTTTAACTGAGCCTATATCTATAGACTATAGTCTAATGGGAATCGAAGAAGCGTTCTTTTTGTTTAATTTTTACTACTGAAAAATATTGGCGAAAAAGACAAAAAACACATTTTGCGAAGTATACTTCTTTATCCAGCTTTTTATAAAACAACAGGAAAAGCCTGCTAGAAAATAATCAAATTGCCGTAAGTAACTTCGAAAGCACTTTAAATATATTTCCAGAAATCAACAAGCGAATATGGGCCAAATAGCTATAGTTCTCATCTAAAGAAAATATGAAATTTGAAGACATCCCAGACACTGGACTGTATGTAGGGATGCAAACGATGCATCGATGTTTTCAAAACATCGATGTTTCGTCCAAAAAAATCGATGTTAATATCGACGTTTTGCTGGAGGATAGATCGTCGATACATCGACTAGGAAAGTGAAAAACAGCGACATCGTTTACTCACTCCGTTCGTATTGTGCCGAACGACCAGTGGCAAGCGAGCGCTTGTTTTCGAAGGCTGGTGCAACCATCATTCAGGATAGAAGCAGGCTTTTCGGGGCTAGATTATCAAAGCTTGTTTTCTGAACTAATTTCAAAATGTTTATTCATATTTAAATAAATAAGATTTACATATTTAAGATACATCATAATAATAAAACAGGTGCAAGTTTTAAGCGGCTAAAAATCGCTTTGATTTTTAATGATTTTTTTGGCGGCTTTTGCGTTTTTTTTCAAATAAGAGGTTAAAAATCAAGGCGATTTTTAACGGCTTTTTTTAAAAATACAGATAAAAAAGTTCAAAATTAAGATAAAAATGTGTTGAATTTTTCAAAGTTTTGTATAAAGTTATGGTTTGCAGCGGATATGTGAATCTAGTTCTTTCGAGTTTAAAAAATATTTCAGGCTACATTTTATTTCGTGTAGCAGATGAGATATTAAAACATCGGTAAAACATCGATGTATCGTTTTTATAACCGATGTTTTTTTGACATCGATGTTTGTTGCGGGAACATCGATGTTTTTAAGAGCGATGTTGCATCCCTAACTGTATGGTTTTCATTATGTCATATTTTGACAACAAAATTTTTTGACATATTTTGACTCAACTTTCTTTCCTTTATCCCTACTTTTACCGCTGATATTATGGGCCAAAAACTTACAAATAGCCACTTTAACAGCGCATGTACACGCCTGAAGGTCTATTATGATCTAAATCAATCAAAATACCATTTTTTAGTCTCATTTGACAATTTGTTTTCACTTATTTGACCGCAAATGCCATTGAATTTGACTTAGTGAAAATAAGCGTTAAGATTAATAGAAAAAATTACGAATTTGAGGATAGCTAAGTAAAGTGTTAATTTTTCGTAGTAGCTGCTCTAAAAACAGTGTAAGATGTTCAAGATAATACTTAATATGACTTTTTTAAATTCTTCCTTTTGACCACTTTTCTTTAGAATTGTTTATTCTTCAAAATGAAAGCGAAGCTTCTCCCGTGCCTACAAGTAAATATATTAGCACGGTAAAGGAAAAAGAAAAAAAAACTAAAAATGCATCTGATCAAAAGATGATTGTACCTAAAATCTAGTGGCTGTACCTAATGTACCTTTAAGTCATCAAACGTCGGAAAAAGGTACAATTGTGCCTACTTTTTCATCCCTGGTTCACATCTGAGTATGTATATGTAAGTGTACATACGCACCCCAAGCATGCAGAGCGACGCTCTGAGAGCGGGGACAACACACATATACATACATGTTTATCCGCACAAATCGCGTGCTGTGGTGTTGATGGATATTCAACATTTGAAAGCAAATTTGTATGCCTAGGTGTAGCTGAGTGCGCAAAGATGCTTGCCACAAGTTGTTGATATTCGGAGATGGTCGGGTTCGAATTCCACGGCAGGCAACATGCTAACTGATTTCTTTTTTTAGTTTTTGTCCTTGATTATTCACTTTGCGGATGCTTTTTCAGTACAAACGCGGTTATTTTAATATGCGCGTAATTGAATTGAATATTTACCAATATACAATACTTTCGTTGACGTTTATAGTAAGATCAATTACGTTTCTATTTGATTTTAATATTTTTTCCCCTCAGTGTACAATCAAAGGAATAAAATGAAGTAGTGTAACAAAAGATTGTTTAGCAAGAAATTTTTGTTAAAACTGTTAACTAACTAAGTTCAGCTTACGTTAAAGTTACTAAAAGCCAAATAGTGAAAGGAGTTACTCAAACTCTAATGAAAATTATTAGCAATATGTACTAATTTACTTCGTTTTTAAAAAACTTTGTCGCGCGAATAGCAAACCGGCATTTACATATCTGCATACATACATATGTATACCTAACCAATTATGCATGTACGCTGAATTTGCTGACAAGCTTTTTTAAAAACGAAGTAAATTAGTACAAATTGTTAGTAACTTTCATTAGAGTTTGAGTAACTCCTTTTACTATTTGGCTTTTAGTAAC